CTTGACATTGGTGTTATAACACTGTTAAGCTATTTTTTTTTTTTTTTTTTTTTTTTTTTTTTTTTTTCCGTGTCCGGCAACAGATTGCAACCCTCAGTGTCGCCCCCGTACCGGACCGGGACCAGCAACAGGATTGCAACCCTTGGTGTTGCCCCCGCACCTCGCTCAGCCAGTGAGCGGGAACCAGTCTGTATGTGGGATCCGAACCCTCGGCGGGAGCGCCTCCGCGCTTCCCAAGCGGCGCACTAGCACAGTGCGCCACCGGGCCGGCCCGATATTTTTGATATATGCTTAATTTGTTCTGAGCTAAAGCTGTGAGGATTGGCCGCTAGGCTTTCCACAGAGCCATACACATATCTTGCTATGAGCTTATGCCTTTGGTTCTAAGCCTCTAAATTCTGGGGTCTAGACAGGTTCCCATGGTGAGGCCTGGGGGCATAGGTGTCCACAATTCATGGTTCACCACCTATAGGACAAAGCCAAACCCAAAATGGTCTTGTCCTCCTTGTTCCAACTCTGCCTCCTTCCTCAATTAAAAATTGAGGAAACATGTCTTTTCAGAAATTATAAAATGGTTTTCATCTCCAAAATTAATGTAAAACAGTTCCAAATTGGTCCCTAGGATTTTCACTGGAAGTTAGGGTTACTAATATTTAACATGATAGTTGATATATGCAAACACATTAAGCTGTAGTTTTGAGGAGAGTGACATCATCAAGATGGCAGAATAGATGATTCTCAGTGTCTGACCCTCCCACAAATGACAGTTTACAAGTATTAAAAAGCAAAGACTGTCAACCTAGAACCGCTGGAGCTGGGAGAAGAGGAGGGGAGACCCACATGGTTCACGAAGGTATGAGAAGCAATGGTGAGAGAATGTAGGGACGGTACCTATTGTTGCGAGCCAGCCTAGTATGGGGGTAGGGACTCACTGTCACACACGGATCAAAGCCAGAAAAAGCTGCAGCATCCATTGTGTAAATTTGCTTGGAGTCTGCAGGTGAGAGAAAGGCTTTGGAATGCACCACACTAGCTCACAGGCCATGAAGTCCACTGGCAGGATTCCCCTGGGCCTGCATAAGAGCAGATGGCCACAACCAGCTAGAGAGGACAGTCACTCAGAGGTCAGTGAGCTATCATGAGGTATGTGTAGATGGCCTGCCCCAGGAGAAGCAGTTGGAGTGTGGGGAAAACTGCAGGAAAGGCTGTCCCACAAGGGAAATATTGGGTGTAGTGTGGGCAACTAGTCTCAGTGGAAAATGGTCAGGGCAATAGAACTGCAGGGAGCTCAATCTGCAGGAAAGACCCTGTCCACGGCCAGACTTCCACACAGCCCAGACCTGGAAGTGATTAATTGTCTGGACAAAAAGCCTTCCCCAGAGAATCAGCAGCAAATAGCAGTCTCCTCAAACAGCTGGAAATCAATGTAAAGACACAAAGACTAAAACGGAACAGAGAAATATGTCACCACCAAATGAAATAAACAAAGCACCAGCAATGGATGCATAAGAACAGGAGATCTATGAAATGTCTGACAGAGAATTCAGAATAATCCTCTTAAGGATGTTCAGGGAGTCACATGAAAATACAGGTAGAAGCTTAAATGACATCTGGAAAATAATTCAGGAGCAGAATGAGAAATTTAACAAAGAAAGCATCAATTAAAAAAAAAACAATAGAAATTCTAGAAATAAAGTAAACATAATCTGAATTGAAAAACTTTAAGAAAAAGCTTCAAAAGCAGACTTAATCAAGCAGGAATGAATCAGTGACCTTGAAAATAAAACACAGGAAACCATCCAATCAGAGGAGCAAAAAGAAAAAAGAATAAGAAAAAATGAAACAGAAATACAGCAAATAGAGAACTCTCTCAAGTGAAAGATGTGGTTTTTGTTAAAGGAAAAATAATTTCTAGTTTAGAAGGTATTTAGAGATCATTTCAAGTTAAAAAAATAAAACGAATATTATAGACAAAATCGAATGAATACAGTTGAAAACAATGTTAAGACATTATAAAAAGTTCATAGAAATTTTGCCTTGTATTGTCAAAACTGGTAGAAATTGAATGGGTTTCTTTATAAGGATTTATTAAAATTGGTTTCAGTATTAATAGTATACTTATGCAAATTCAGTTTTCTGTTTTAAACAAAATTTTCCTATATTGATAAAAGATAGTAAAAAAATTTTGTTCATCTTTTAACTAAACTGCCAAAAAAAAAAAAAAAAAATTTTTTTTCTTTTTAAAAAAAAACAAAAAAAAAAAAAAAAATTTTTTTTCTTTTTAAAAAAAAACAAAAAAAAAAAAAAAAAGGCGAGGGTAGAGAGTAAGAGATTCTGTGACTTTATTAGGTCTTTGGATTACTTAGGAAAACATGAGTTAAACATTTAATGATATTGATTTTCAGTAATTGTGTACTTAATATGTGTTCCAAAGTTGTATAAAATTTCAAAAATTCTGATATATCTTAGAATATGTTATCAGTTATAATTATAGCTATTATGAAAAGTTATTATAGACCATGGAAAGAACAAAATTTCCTTGCCAATTTTGTCTTTAATCATGCCATCTTCAGTCCTAAAATTGTTTTACTTTGATGCTTTTTTCCCTCTTTGCAAGTCCTAAAATGCTATGTCTTATCAACTATGTTTCAATGAAAAAAATTTTTAAAATAAAGTACTATGTTTTCAAGAAGGTTCATGGAAAGGATAAAAAGAGTCTGACAGGTACTCTGAAATACAGACCTCTGCTGATGACTTTGAGATTTATTAAATTGGACTGGGAAAATACTCCGCAACTCTAATAGAAAACACACAAACAAGCAAACAAAAGAAAAAAACCCAAACAACTGAATTCATAAACTTGCTAACATAACATCAAAAGAACAAGATTTTATTATAGGGGACTGATAAAGGATTACAATTAGTTTTTGTTGTTAATATTTTTTTAAACATTGCTAATTCTTTTTAAATTTTGTTTTCCAGATTTTAAGAAAAAAGTAAGCTATTGATTGTTTTATAGCAATTTGATAAAATGTTCTTTTATGTACAAAATTGAGGCAGTTCCTTTTTTCTCTACTTGATCTTTCCAAGATTTTAAAATTGTTTGTACTTTTTATTTTATGGTGATATATTTGTTTGTATAAATTCAATAAGAATCTCTTTTCTTTCATAACAGGATGATTGGAAACATTGCTTATTGTGCCAAGTCTTTTCTTTTTTTTTTTTTTTTTTTTTTTTTTTTCCGTGTCC